TTTTTTTATGGTTTGAGAGCGACTTTGACATTATTGTTTTCCGAATTCCTTGCAGAAAAAGCGACAATGGTTGTTAGATACGTCGGCGGTTTTCACAGTGATCTCTCGCCAAGAAAACCAACCAAACAAACAAACAAGATAAAAAAAAACCGACTACAAAATAAACCGACCTTTATTCGAAAGCGTCACATACTACGGGCGCCTTAGAATTGCGTTCTAAAAGTGTAGAGCGCCTTAATTTGCGCGTCCAAATCAGGAGAAAGGATTCTTAAATTTGAAAGAAAATGCTGGGATGCCGGGTAGTTCATTCATTCGCTCACTCACACACTCGTCCGTTCGTTCGTTCGTTTTTCAGAACTTCATTAGCATGATTTCAATACATACATACATAGTGAACGTACATTAGCCAATTAATTGCGTCAGCGTAATTGTTCCCCTGCATGCCCGACTATGCCCTTCATTCAATTAACTGCCTTTGCGAATTGATGAAGGAAAATCGGGACTCGTTGTTACTTTACTTCTTGTTCTCTGTTCAGATGACTCCCATTAAAATCTTCTTTTCAGTTTTAATTTCGAGTATATCTGAAAGCTGTACCTGACCGAAAGGTTATCCGAAAGTGATTAAATTCTCTCTTACTTCCTGTTTTTCTCTGCAGTCATTGAACTGAAAAATGGAAATTTGCTTAAGCTAAGCATGCCAGTCGTTTAGGATAATGCAAGTCACCGCAACTTTACTATGAGAGTCATAAAGAGTGCCTTAGCATTTCTGAATTATGTCTCTCAAACTTTTGATAGATTAGATTAATTGATATCTTTTCAAAATGTATTTCTCTATCTATGTTAAGTTCTGGCCAAACGGACTCGCAAGTAGACGCAAGTTAAAAACTTGGGTCTACTTGAGACTCCGCCGGTTTGGCCAGGCCTTGAGTGCACTTGCGTTGACTTGCGCTCACTTTGGTCGAGATCAAATTTGAACGCAAGTCGAAGTAAGTTTTTCACCATTTGGCCACCCAACCCAAGTCAACAAAAGTTAAGTGACGTCCATTCGTTGTTAAAGCAACCTATTTGCCAATGCAATACAGGATATGTAGCCTCGAAATGCTTTTTTTTTGGCGAATTGCGTGTACTTGTAAGGGAACTTGCGGGTCCGTTTGGGCACCCAACGCAAGTCTCTACGCAAGTTCAACTTGCGGCTACTTGCGACCTCTTGCGAGTCCGTTTGGCCAGGACTTGAAGGACTATCGTGACAACAGCTCATCCTATCTGGGCACGAAATTCGTGTCGCAATGTCACTCCACGTCATACATCAAGCGCGGGCGCTAAGGAACAAATTTAAGCATGCATAAGGCTTGGCATCGGGTGCGCTAACTTTGCCTACAATTTACTCTCTCGCTCGGTGACCCACATTTTTTTTTCCGTTGATCAATTTCTTTTTCGATTTAATCCATTTTAACAAAAAGCAGGAAGAATCTTAAAAATATTTCGCTTTGTCTGCTCTCGTGTGAGTGAAGTTTTCTTCGAATGTGGAAGCTCAGTAAAAATTATTCTTTTTCTAGACTTATTGTACCTCAAAGAACGACATAAACAACGAGGGTTTACTTAATATACTTAGTTGTGTTGAATTGAGTACGTTTACCTGATCTAAATGTCATTAATGTAGTTTTTTTTTGGCCGATGGAAACCTCAAAAAACGGATGGTCTTCAACGCGCCTTATCTCGAAAACGAGTGCGGTGAATCCCATTTTTGGGGGGCTTTTCTTTTTTCATCTCACGTCATGGTAAAAATTAAAATAATCTGTCCTTGGGAACATTTTGGACGCGATCGAACGTCTTCAACAAAACTCAGTTGACAAAGGATTGAAAATATTTGGTTTGTGCATGTTTGCGCCAAAGTTTAATTAATTCTTGTTTAATAAGAGAGAATAGAAAAAGGTGATTATTGATGCTCAACCTCATCATCTGGATGTTCCAGTTTCCAAAGGAAGTTCGATTCTTCTTTCTCTTCCTTACATCTTTCACCCTCAAGACCACAGATGTTAAATCACGGCAGTACATGTGATAATTTGGGGTGATAACAAGTTTGTAATGTCCTACATGCTATTTATAGACATTTTTTTTTTTTTTTTTTTTTTTGCATATTGACTTTAACTTATCAAAATAATTTCAGTGTTAGTAATCGAATAATTCTTAAGCGTAAAGCAAACTTTGTGCTCTGTTTGCAGCAAAACATCTGGTCCACTTGTCACTGTTGTCTTTACCTTTGTTTATGAAAAGCGACTGTGTAAACAAAGACTTTGCACAGTCCATTTACTGTCCATTATTCTCCAAAAAGAATCTTTTTTATTCATCGGCCTCTCAATTAGTTGATCAGAGAGTTAGCTTATGTAAACACAATGTAAGACCAAGGCATTTCTGACACTGAATTACGATTCTATTTTGCTTTCTCTATGTTTTCAACTTTTCACCTAATGCCTTGATAAATTATCTAACGTGCCATTTACATGTCCATACGGCGCGGTTAATTATGCGTTTCGAAAATTGGATAAAAAATACAGCCGGACTGTACAGAAACCTGCCTGAGAGGAACACATGGCATTTTCAATGGCTCTGTTTAACTTTAGGTCGCAATGCATATATCAATAAACGCCTTGTATCTCACTGTACTGTCATATTTGGGGGTTTGCTCGTTTTTTCGTTTCTCTCCATAAAGCACATTTAGGAACTTGGTCCGAACCAAAAAAACCCCCTGACATTTGCAATTGATATCACCTCTTGACTTCGTTTTTGCCTATTTCAAGTTATTACCTCGTACCGTTTTATGCAAATATGTGAATAAAAATGACTGAGTTGTATTTCTTCTGTTACTTGAAGATCAGTTGAAAGTTAGTATTTCAGTAGTTTTGTCGGCCTGTTTCCCTTTTCGTGACCTGCTCCCAAGAAATCCCTCTACAGAAGAAAAAAAATCTGATAAAAAGCTGATAAACTGTGTTTCGGTGTCACTTTTAAATTTCAAATTTTAGACGTTTTAATTCCCGACTTTATTTTACAAGTCAGTAATTATCAAATTATTCCCTGGGTTAAAGGACCCTCACTCATCACAGCTAGGACATACTTGAAAAAAAAAAATTGCTGAATTTTTCGAACTCGTCTTTCATATATAAAATTTAGTTTTTCTGTCTTTTTCGTTCTCTTTAAGTTCATCATAATATTTTATCAGCCCTTTGTGGTTTTGCTGTCATTCTGAGTTATCTCTGATTTAAAATTAATTTACTTTGTGCATCACGAAAAATGTCTTATTTTTATATCACAAGTCTAGGAAAAAAACCCTCAAGTCGTTCTTGTTCCCGCTGAACGCATAGTAATCAAATAAGTTGTGTGGGTGTCAACCACTATTCTAAAGTGCAACCATCTCACTTGTAATCCCAATGTAAGAAATTGCAATTTAATTCATTGAGCGGGGTCTAAGATGAACTCAATAAATTGGCCTGTATGTGGGTCTTCATGATCATAGCTTAGTTGGTAGAGCACTGCAGCGCTGCTACGGGTTGGAATCTCGTTGAAGCCCGAAAACTTTTTCCGGCTTATTTATTTATCTTATTTAAACTTTCTATTGCTTGAATTGTGATTACAATTAACTGCAGTGGTCACATCTTTGTTTCATTTGTATTCCGCAGTTTACATCATTTATTCTCAAAAAAAAAAACTATTCTCCTTAAGTCATGTAATCACGCTGTTAGAGGCTAATTATGATTGTCTACATGCACGGTCCAAATTAAAAGAAATAATTATCATATGAAGACGAACTTTTCATTCAGTTTACATTCAGCCATTTCAGGTCAACATCAACGCCCGCCTTTTTTCGCGGCTTCCTTTTGTAATCAGTCCACTGCCTTTAGCGTTTTCGTAATTTTATAAAGTGTTGCTGGTCATTGAATTGAAAGGGTTTTAAAAAAAAAACAAAAATCAGTGTTAGTTAAAATTAATCAACAAATAAATGACCGCCAAGAGATGTGCAGTAAATATAACGTCGCTTTAATGAACGAGATTTTAGTAGAATTCAAGGACCATTTTGGGCGTTGTACCGTATATTGCTGCCCAATTATCGATTAGAGGTCGTAGGGAATTCGACCTCTCACGGTTTTTCATGAGTTTCGGGTTCATGGAGATGGTTTTCGCTACTGAGATAAAATTTCATTTCTGATAATCGCTCCTGGATAAAGAAGGAAAAATAAAGCTGGGTCGAAGAAGAGAAGCAATTTAGCTCCCCTCTTAAGAATTCCGTGACAAAATAAATTTCAGTTCTGTAGAGGCTCTCCTCTTTTCTGTCATTAAAATTATTTGCTGCTGATTACTGCTTTTTTAGATTTTGTTTGGCCTCTTGAACTTAAGCAGTGAACCATTTTGTAAATGGACTTAGCTTAGT